CACCCCCGGCCTCACTCAGCCAAGAGCCTCATCCCTTCTCCCGGATCCTGTGCCTTCCTTTCCAGAACAGTTTCCCCCATCCTGCCCGCCCATTGCCTCCCATTTGCTGTTCACTTGCTATTCACTGCTCTCTCTCTCTCTCTCTCCCCCTCCCCCTCTCCCCTCAAACTCTGCCCTTCCCTCTTGTCTGGCTTTGTCTTCCCTTTCTGTCCTCTGTCACTCTCTCCTCTCCTCTCCTCTCCGCATGGCCTTTCCTGCAGGGGAGCCTCCACCTCGCCCACCTCAGCCTGCCGTCTTCACTCAGAGTAAGTGGGGCTGCTCTGGATGTCTTGGCCCCTGCCCCCGCCCCCTCTCTCCTCTCATCCCTCTGCTCCTCCTGGAAGGTACAGAGCCCTGCGGCTGGATGGGAGGGGAACGGGTGTGTGCTGTGAGCTTGTGCTGCTGACCGGGCCCAGCAGGCCTGTCTCCCCAACCCTGCCCGGCAAAGCCTGGGCGTCTGCAGCAAGTCCCCATGCCCGCCTTGCCCGTGCTGTGGTGGTGCCTGGCCTCACTGCCTGGGGGCCTGCAGAGGCTGTGTCTGGGCCTCCATGGTGGCTGGTCAGGAGCGCTGCCCTCCCCAAGGGCGCTCCTGTTTCCCGGGATGGTGGGGGATTGCCAGCCTCCCTGTGCCAGCACTAATGGTGTGCGTGGTGGGGGAGGGGCAGGGGTCACTAACCAGGGCTCAGGGAGGGGCACTTGGAGTTTTGTGTTGTTGAAGGGAACCTCGAGACAGGTGAGGGTGCGGTGTTCCTGCTCCGGCCGAGACGGAGGCAGGGGCTCCCCAGCCCAGGTCAGTGCTGACAGCGCCCAGAGCAGGTTCTGCCTCCTGTGTGAATGGTATCGGTGTGCACTGAGAACCTTGACCACTGAGAGCTGACCTCTGGAGGAACTGGGCTGTGGAGTTGGTGGGAGATACTTGGCTGTCTTCCCCACTCCCATCCTCCCTGTCCTCTTGCCCCCGTCTGACATGGCCTCCCTGTTGGGGGTCTCCCCTTCCGTCACAGAACCAGCCTACGACCCTGTGAGCGAGGACCAAGACCCCCTGTCTAGCGACTTCAAGAGGCTGGGCCTGCGGAAGCCAGGCCTGCCCCGAGGGCTGTGGCTAGCGAAGCCCTCGGCCCGGGTGCCGGGCACCAAGGCAGGCCGCGGCGGTGGGGGTGAGGTTACGCTCATCGACTTTGGCGAGGAGCCTGTGGCCCTGGCCCCACGGCCCTGCACGCCATCCCTGGCACAGCTGGCCATGGACGCCTGCTCCTTGCTGGACAAGACCCCGCCCCAGAGCCCCACACAGGCACTGCCCCGGCCCCTGCACCCCACGCCCGTAGTGGATTGGGACGCCCGCCCGCTGCCCCCGCCGCCTGTCTACGATGATGTGGCCCAAGATGAGGATGACTTTGAAGTTTGCTCCATCAACAGCACTCTCGCGGCCACTGGGGGCTCTGCTGGGCCCAGCCAAGGCGAGACCAATTACGCCTTTGTGCCTGAGCAGGGGCGGTTGTTCCCGCCCCTGGAGGACAACCTGTTCCTCCCACCCCAGGGTGGGGACAAGCCGCCCAGCTCCGCCCAGACTGCAGAGATCTTCCAGGCGCTGCAGCAGGAGTGCATGCGGCAGCTGCAGGTCCCGGCCGGCTCGCTGACCCCCTCACCCAGCCCGGTGGGCGACGACAAGCCCCAGGTGCCCCCCCGGGTGCCCATCCCCCCACGGCCCACCCGCCCACGTGCGGAACTGTCGCCGGCCCCCTCAGTCGAGGAGGACATGGGGCGCTGGCCTGAACCTGCCTCTCCTCCCCGGATCCCACCCCGAGAGCCCCTGTCACCACATGGCTCACGGACCCCCAGCCCCCTGGTGCCACCTGGGAGCTCCCCACTCCGGCTCTCAAGCTCACCTGGGAAGGCCATGCCCACCACCCAGAGCTTTGCCTCCGACCCCAAGTATGCCACACCCCAGGTGATACAGGCACCTGGGCCTCGGGCCGGCCCCTGCATCCTGCCTATCGTCCGCGACGGCAAGAAGGTCAGCAACACCCACTACTACCTGCTTCCTGAGCGCCCCTCCTACCTCGAGCGCTACCAGCGCTTCCTGCGAGAGGCCCAGAGCCCTGAAGAGCCGGCCCCCTTGCCTGTGCCCCTGCTGCTGCCCCCACCCAGCACCCCGGCCCCCGCTGCCCCCACTGCCACTGTTCGACCGATGCCCCAGGCCGCCCCAGACCCCAAGGCCAACTTCTCCACCAACAACAGCAACCCAGGGGCTCGGCCGCCATCCCTGAGGGCTGCTGCTCGGCTGCTGCAGAGGGGCTGCCCTGGGGATGGGCCGGAGGCCGGACGGCCCGCAGACAAGGTCCGGATGGTGAGTGCCAGGCCTGGCTGTGGGCAAGGAGGGCCAGGGCCCGAGGGACCCAGAGGGGCAGGCCCACGTGGAGCTGACCAGGGTGGGTGTGCCCAGCTGCAGGCCATGGTGCATGGGGTGACCACAGAGGAGTGCCAGGCCGCCCTGCAGAGCCACGGCTGGAGTGTACAGAGGGCTGCCCAGTATCTGAAGGTACCACCACCTCCTGCCCACTCTGGCTTTCAGGGACCCTGAAGGCTAGCTCTGCTGCTCCCATCCCCCTATTCCCTGCCTCTGGCTCTCTGCCCCCACCCTAGTCTGGTGTTCCTCAGCCGCGGTGTGCCCCATGGCGCCATCCTCTGCCCCTCAGGTGGAGCAGCTCTTTGGGCTGGGTCTTCGACCGCGGGGCGAGTGCCACAAAGTGCTGGAGATGTTCGACTGGAATCTGGAACAAGCCGGCTGCCACCTCCTGGGCTCCTGTGGCCCTGCCCACCACAAGTGAGTGAGCCTACACCCTGCCCACCACAAGGGAGCAAGCCTGCACCCTGCCGACCATGACGGAGCAAGCCCGCACCCTGCCCCACCACCAGTGAGGGAGCGCATACCCTGCCTACCACCAGTGAGGGAGCCCGCACCCTGCCCCACCGCCAGTGAGGGAGCTCGCACCCTGCCCACCAGTGAGGGAGCCCACGAGAGAGCAAGCCCGCACCCTGCCCCACCTGCTTGTCCCAGGAGGGCTCTACCCCGAGCACCCCACACTGGGAAAAGTCCCGGTGCCAGCAGGCCAGGAGAGGCCAGGGGTCAAAGGCTCCCTAGCTGTTGGGAGGGAGGAAAGGCACGGATCTTGGGAAGCAGACAGCTTGGGTTGAAAACGGTTCTCCTAAACAGATTTATTTAGAACGCTAGATTTCAGACTTTTTAGCCACTTGGTTGAGATGAATTGAGTGAAAGAGAGAGTTGGAGCTCCTCTGGTTGAAAGGGGGCTGCTTCCCTAGCTCTTCCCACAGTGCCCTGAGGGGACTCCAAGGAGCAGCCGTGAAAACCCAGTTTCAACCAATATTTCTCACCTCTTTATGGCATATTTCAGTTCAAAGTATAATTTAAAATTTTAATGCCTTTTTAAAGGAATGTCCCGTCCACCCCCCAAAAATTCGTTACTCCTTTCTGGAAGACATTTTCAAATATCTATTTATAAACAGCATACAGTAATATATAAATAATGTATATAAATGCATATGGGAAAGCTTGAACAAGTTGAAAAGTGGTGTACCACAGTCAGACAGGATGAATTGCTGGTAGGGCGTGGGGTCGAAGACTTGGCAGCTGTGGAGCCTGGCAGCCCGAGTCAGCCTCCACCTGGTGCCCCTCACTGACGGTGTGACCCTGGGCGAGTTTTTCATCTCGGCAGCTCAGGTCCCTCCGCTGTAAATTGTGTCTGAATGATAGTGCCTTCCTCACAGAAGTGCTCAGAAGGACCAGCGAGAGATGCGTCTGTCACTTGACACACCCAGTGTCTGGCACGCAGCACACAACCACTAAATGTTAGATAGGCTCTTGTGGCTGTTCTTAGTAATTTGCATCCAGATAAGCTTAGGCTTCATTGTCCCTGTCACCGTCTGGATACTCTAATACATGAAAGTACTGTTGTCTTAGTTTATTCATACCCAAACCAACCAAACGCCGTTGTCGTCGAGGCAGTTCCAACTCATAGTGACCCTATAGGACAGAGTTGAACTGCCCCATAGGGGTTTCAAGGCTGTAAACCTTGGCAGAGGCAGACTGCCACATCTCTTCCTGAGGAGTGGCTGATGGGTTCGAACTGCCGACCTTTTGTTTAGCAGCTGAGCACTTTAATCGCTCCTAGTTTATTCATAGCTTATTAAAATAAAAGGGAAAAAAGCAACCCAGGATGATAAGTTCCAAAATTATTGCCTAGAGCTACCAGTTTTCAACCAATTTGCCTGGCACCAGGAGGCACTGACTCCCCTGTGGCCCTCTAGTGCCCCCCCACCCTGGGTATTCTATAATCTGTGTGATGACACCAGTTGATGGAGGGACTTTTTGGCTATTTTCCATCCTTTAGGCGCTGAGACTGGAGAGCCAGAGGGTCTTCCCTGAAGGAATCACTTGGCCAACCATCTGACAAGGGTGGGCCGATGCCCCCGCCCAGGCCTGGAGGACCTGCTGCCCCAGTGGGCAGAGCAAGGCCAAGGCAGCAGGAGGCTGGGCCCCACCATGCCCGCCCCTCCCTCACCCAGCGCTGTCCTCGCGCACTTCCGTGCAGCCCTTGGTGCCAGCCACAGCGTGGGAAGGGGCCCTGTGCAGACATTTCTGGGGCTGCCTCGGTGGGCCCTGCTGGCTGACCTGCCTGTGGATCCAGTCCGTGACTGGGCTGGACTGGTGCCCCCAGGCCCTGCTCAGGGGACCAGACTGAAGGGGAGCCAGGCTTGACCCAGGAAGGGAGGGTGTGCTGGCTACACAGAAGGGAGGACCAGCACCCTGGTGGGCCCTCCCCAGGGTGGGACCTTCCCCAGGGCATCCCTGGCGGGCAGTTAGGGTAGCAGATGGCCTGTGGATTATGGCCTGGCCACGGACATGTGATGTTGGCTGGTCTTAGTACCTTGTGCCTGGAAGTAGGCCAGGGTGGCTCGGGAAGCGAAGAAAAGGTGCCAGTCCGTTCTCTGGCAGGGACCAGGGCTCAGTGCCCCAGGGTTGGAAAGAGACCAAGGGGGCAGCTGCCCTGGAGGGATACCAGTGCTTCCTCTTTGACCCCAGCCCTTCCCCCTGTGCTGTTCCGTGTTTTTCCACCAGCCTCTGTCGCCAAAGTTGTTGCCCCAGCTATGGATACCTGCTTCTTCCAGAGAAATAAAATTAGTTTCTATTTTATGTTACTGGTTTGTACCTTCTTGTTTCTTTGCCTCTTGATCAGCAGCTTGAGGACTTTGCAAAGCTCTCCAAGCCACCATCTGTCCAGGGCAGCAGGCCTGTAGCACCCCCTTAGGCAGAGGGGGGAACTGCAGATCTGAGAGGCCATAAGGGGCCTCCTTTTCCAGAGACCCCAATTAATGTAGCCACTGACTCTCACGTTGCCCACGTTTTTGCTCTGTAGATCTCCACAAGGCAGGATACACACCAGGAGAGACTTCAGTAACTCAGTTAACTGGAGCTAAGCCAGAAACTTTAGTGACAAAGAAGGCTTCATATGTGTATAAGTATTTTAATTTTGTTTTTCAGAATAATATATTTACATGGCTCCAAATTCTAAAGGTATTAAAGAGTGGACAGTGGACAATCCCCTCCCCGCTTCAGCTGGCCAGTTTCCTTCCCCAGAGTCTTCCTTTGGGTATTTTGAAGAGTCCGTAGCAGCACTGACAGGGCGTCCCGCATTCTTGTTTAGGGGTGCATGGATATGTGGATGTATCATAACCTGTTTGTGGTTGTTATTGGGTGCTGCCTAGTTGATTCCGATTCATAGTGACCCCATGTGACAGAGTAGAACTGCCCCGTAGGGTTTTCTAGGCTGTAATCTTATGGCAGCAGATCCCCAGGTTTTCTCTCCTGCAGAGCTGCTGGGTGGGTTCAAACCGCAGCTGGGCGTTTAGCCATTGCACCACCAGGGCTCCTTGTAATCTTCTAACCAGGCCCATTTAATTGTGTTCTGGTTGTGTCTATGTAGTTTGAATTGACATTTCTCTTAATGAATGAGCATTTTCTTAAAATTGTGGTAAAAATACACGTAACAAAACATTCGCCAATTCAGCAATTTTTACATGTATAATTCAGTGACATTGATGACATTCTTCATGTTGTGCTATCGTTATTACTGTCTATTTCCAAATTGTTCCACCACCATGAACAGAAACTCAGTGCTGCCTAAGCAAAAGCTCCTCTATCCTCCCACCCCTGGTAGCCATGAGCAGCTTTGGTTTTTGTTATTTGCCTATTTTATGTAAGTGAGATCATGCAGTATTTGTCCTTTTGTGACCGACTTTCTGAATGAACGTTTTTAAAGTAAGTTGACCCATTTGTATTTCTTTTTCTTTGAGCTGCCTATTAATATTCTTGGCCCATTAAAAAAAGTTAGATGATTGTTGACCTGTTTCTTCCTGGATTTTAGGAGCTTTTTTTGTTTCAAGGAGATTAGCCCTTTGAGCTTCACACATTCATCTGAACTTTAGGAAAAGAAGTAAATCAGAGAGTGTTTTAGTTATCTCGTGCTGCTATAACAGAAATACCACAAGTGGATGGCTTTAACAAATTTATTCTCTCACAGTCTAGGAGGCTAGAAGTCCGAATTCAAGGTGTCAGCTCCCAGGGAATGCTTTCTCTGTCAGTTCTGATCCTTGTCATCGATCTTCCTCTGGTCTAGGAGCTTTTCAGCACAGGGACCCCGGGTCCAAAAGATGCACTCTGCTCCCAGCTCTTCTTTCTTGGTGGTATGAGGTCCCTTTCCTCTCTGGTGGATTTTGTCTTTTATGTTTTAAAGGAGACTTGACTCAAGATACAACCTAGTCCTGTAGATTGAGTCCTGCCTCATTAACATAACTGCCTCTAACCCTGCCTCATTAACATCATAAAGATTGGGATTTACAACACAAAGGATAATCACATCAGATCACAAAATGGTGGACAGCCACACAATACTTGGAATCATGACCTAGCCAAGTTGACACACATTTTGGGGGTGCATAATTCAATCCGTAACAGAAAGTAGGCTCTGATAGCTTGGGTTTATTAAAACAAAGGCCATTCAGGGTGGGCCTGGACCTGCTGCCTCCTTCCTGTGTCTGTGGCTTCAGGCTGGCTTCTGGTGGGCTCTGAGCTCCAAAGCTCTGAGGCCTGGGAGGTCCTGAGTCTTCAGATCCAAACATGGGCAGTGTACCCTGTTTACTTAGGCAGGAATTAAGTTATTTTTTACTGCAATTAAAAATTTTATTTAGTCAAATGTGATATCATCAGAGGGAACAAGTTAATATTAAGTAACTGTTGGGCATGGCTGTTTTACCTTGGCAAAGTTACTTTTAAGCCTGTGTACTAGGGGAGAGTAATTCCCACTTTATGGAGTGATTGTGAGGGTTCAGTGAGGCCATGTAGGTAAAACTGGCAGTCTAGTGCTTGTGCACGTAAGTACCCAGTAAACTGTAATTGTTATAAGTTTTGTTTCTTCACATTTCTGCCTGCCTCTACCAATCAATAGCTTACCATATACACTGACCACAGCTCTGCATCCAAGTGTTTTCTCCTTTTCCCATTTTCTCTCTTATTTTTAGAAAGCAGTTCATTGTTTTGCTACACAATCATCATATTTATACATAGCGGACATTCTTGGCTCCATTAAAATAAACATGTCGGTTTTTGTAATCAGTGGAGGACTTTTGTATGTTTAGCAGCATTTAAGAATCCGTTACAGAGCTAGGATGTTTCAGAAAGATTTTTTGGATGACCCCCGGAAATTATTGTCCTAAAATAATCTTTAAACCTTAAACCAAGGGGAGCGGGGAAGCTGAAGCAGCTGGGGGCTTCTCAGGGGATCAGGAAACCCAATGCCCTTTATATATATGTGTGTGTGTGTGTGTGTGTGTGTGTGTGTGTGTATAACCATGAAGTGGATTCCGACTCATAGTGACCCTATAGGACAGAGTAGAACCACCCCATAGGTTTTCCAAGGAGCGCCTGGTGGATTCGGACTGTCGACCTTTTGGCTAATAGCCGAATTCTTAACCACTATGCCAGCAGGGTTTCCTATATATATGTATAAACCAAAAAACCAAACCCGTTGCCGTCGAGTCGATTCTGACTCATAGCGACCATACAGGACAGAGTAGAACTGCCCCATAGGGTTTCTAAGGAGTGCCCAGTAGATTCGAACAATTTATTTATTTTGCTTTTATTGAGAACATACACAGCAAAAATGTACACCAATTCAAGTTTTTACATGTACAATTCAGTGACATTGAGTACATTCTTTGAGTTGTGCAACCATTCTCACCCTCCTTTTCTGAGTTGTTTTCCCCCCATTAACATAAACTCACTGCCCCCTAAGGTTCCCATCTAATCTTTCTAGTTGCTGTTGTCAATTTTATCCAATAGAGATAGTTCTTAAAAGAGCATAATGCTCAAGACAGACATTCGTTACTAGTTAAGCTAAACTATTGTTTGGTTTTAAGAAGACTGAAGGGCATATGTTTGGTTTAAGGTTTAAAGATTATTTTAGGACAATAATTTCCGGGGGTCATCCAGCTTCCATGGATCCAGAAGATCTGGATTCCATGAGGATTTCAGCCAATGCACTTTTCTTGCTGGACATACATTTCCCCAAATTCTGGGGTTTCCTGCTGTTTTTTCTCACTTCTAATTCAGCCTGCCAGCTCTTGGCAGCATTTCCTGGGTTTATTGCAAAGCGCTTAAGGGAGGATGTTGAAAAAGCTGATTCAGGTTTGTTTGCCGAAATGGAGAATCAGTAATTCAGTGAGGACTTACTGGGTACCTTCTCAGTGTCAAGCTTTGAAGAGGGGATCCAAGCTGATGAGACACAGTCTGTGGTCCAGGGACTGTGACATCATCCTAATAAGATAACGAGTGCTCTAAAATCATCCCGCACCAGGTGCCTTGGAAGCGAAGCGGAGGAGGTAGCTCCCCAGAGAGGTGACATTGTTCAGATGAATAGTAGCGGTGTGCCGAGGGGGAGAGTGAAAGAACTCCAGGGGGCGGGAACTGCGTTGCAAAGATGTGGAGGCACAAACCCGGCTTGTCCTGAGGACTGCAGTCGGCCAAGGCTGGAGCCCATCGTTTTATTGTGTTTTGGGGATGGATTGGAGGTGAATTTCATGTGATCCTCGAAAGTGAGGCAGCGGTGAAGGCCCTGGTGAGAAATGCTGACAAGTTCTGATTTCTGACAAAGGGAGACAGTGGAGGAGAACGAGCAGAGAGCGACTCGGTCAGAGTTGTGTGTGAGGTAGGTAGCGGCAGAGTAGAGCCACGTGTCTCACTGCACACTGGGGACACAAAAGCAAATTCATGTTTCAAAATAATTACTGTGTTTAAGGTGAAAATTTACACAGCAACTTAGGTTCCATTTAACAGTTTCTACACAAATTATTCAGTGATTCTGGTTACATCTTTCACACTGTTCTCATTCTCATTCATTCCGTTCTGGTTGTACCGTCTCCAGTACTCTAGTTTCCCTGTCCCCTTACCTTCTCATCTTTACTTTAGAGTAGTTTTTTTTTTTTTTTCCTGAACATTTTATTGTGTTTCAGGTGAAAGTTTACACAGCAAATAAGTTTCCCATTCAACAATTCATACACAAATTGTTCCATGACATTGGTTGCTATCCCCGCAAAGTGTCAACACTTTCCCTATTTCCACCCTGCCTTTCCCGTTTCCATCCCTCCAGTTTCCCTGCCCCTCCTTGCTTTCTTATCTTGCTTTTGGGCAAATGTTGCCCATCTGGTCTCACATAGTTGATTGTTCTAAGGAGCACATTCTTCATGGGTGTCATTGTTTATTTTATAGGCCCATCTATTATTTGGCTGACAGGTGACCTCTGGGAGTGGCTTCAGTTCCAGATTAAAAGGGTGTCTTAGGGCAATAGTCTTGGGGGTTCTTCCAGTCTCTATCAGAACAGTAAGTCTCTCTCTTTTTTTTTTTTTTTTATGAATTTGAGTTTTGTTCTACGTTTTTCTCCCATTCTAACTGGAATGCTTTAGAATAGTTTTTGACTGTTGGGTCTCATATAGGTGATTTTTTAAAGGAGCTCGTTACTCATGGGTGATACTCGTTATTTTATGAGCCAATCTGTTATTTAGCTAAAAGGTGACCTCAAGGGATAATTTCAGTTTAAGGTTTAAAGAGTAT